TTTAGGGTTTAGGGTTTACAGGGTTTAGGGTTTACAGGGTACAGGGTTTAGGGTTTAGGGTTTAGGGTTTAGGGTTTAGGGTTTAGGGTTTAGGGTTTAGGGTTTAGGATTTAGGGTTTAGGGTTTAGGGGCACCGCAATGTTTGAAAGTATTCTACAGTATGCTTGATTCTAATGTCAACCCCTGATCTACTTATTCGTGTTTCTCTGTAGTTACAGCATGCTGTACGAAAATATATGCCAAAACTCTACTCTAATTATTCCGGCCCCTACAAAACTAGATTCCTATAAAACACAGATTCACCTTGCCACCCAAAAAATTTTTAAACCGTGAACATAACCTTCGATTTCTAGTCTAGGATATCCTTCAGCAGGAACAAGACTTGCCCGTAAACGCTACACCCTGACGACTCTCCCACACGAACCTCCAGTCATCGGGCTTGGGGTTTGAGGGGTCGGAAGCCACTCGAGAGCAGGGCTTCACGGGTCTTAGCGTTAAGAGAACAAGGACTACTATTCTAAGGACTTTAGGAGGGACCCCTAATAGGGACCCTTAATCCCATTACCTTAAATAACCATTGTATAGCCCTTATATACCCCTTATATAGCCAGGTAGTCTCCATATCAACCCCAAAACCTACAGGGCTCAAGCCCTTAGAACTGTCAGGTGCACTGTATCGATTGCTGTAAGGGTTTCTGCAAGGCCTGTGCCAGACTGAAGAGTTCTGTAAGGCAACGGGTTCAGTCGGAGTTTCCATCCTGGCCCCGTGGATTCCGGCTCGAGCGTCACACTGGGCGGTGGTTTAGGTTTCAGAGCTTCGGGGGCTTTTTTGGGCTTTGGATTTAGGGTCTTCGAGCTTACGTACAGTGTTAAGAAGTCACTGCAGCCGGCCTTCAGATTTTTGTTCGGACTGTTTGGGGTATGTAACGGTTTAGGGTTTAGGGTTTAGGGTTTAGGGAGTTGAGGCACCACGGCTGTCAGCTTCTTGGGTTTGAAGGTCTGCAGACTCGAGAGTTGGGGCGCCCCGTGGGGCTTGTGCCAGAGCTTTGCCGCGAGGAGGCAGGGAGCGGAGTGGGATTCGGAGAGCCCCTGGAGCATGTGACCGGCGTCACCGAAACCACCAACATCAAAAGTAGACTTCCGAACACCCCATAACCCTAAACCCTCAATGGCTTCTAGAATGCAGAGAGTTTCACTTGCTCGCTTCGCAGGACCAAGGGCCTTGGGTTTGAATTTGCCCTAAACCCTAAACCCTAAACCGTTTTGGGGAAGTTTGGGTGGAAGGCTTTTGACTTCGGGTTTGGAGGCTCGGTTCTCGGGCCTTTGGCTGGAGGTCAGGTGTTTGGAGGTTTAAGGTTTAGGGTTTTAGGGGTTTAGGGTTTAGGGGTTTAGGGGTTTAGGGTTTAGGGTTTATGGGTTTTGGGTTCAGGGTTTAGGGGTTTAAGGGGTTTAAGGGTTTAGGGTTTAGGGTTTAGGGTTTCGTGTCGGGTGAGACGAGGGCTTGTTGGACCCACGGTTTGGAACCCAAGCACCTGGACCCCAACACCTTGAACCTTGCTGCATTCGACCCTGATATATACAGCGCAGCCATTTGAAGTTCAGGATTTTGGGTTGAGAGGGTGGTAAGCCTGCTATTCCTGGTTTTGGAAAGGGGTAAAGGGTTCAGGAGGTTCAGGATTGCGGGCCGCGGATTGAAGGTGGGCGATTGATGTAGGCTACATAATGCAGGGGCCTTAATAATTAGACTAGGGTTTCGGGGTCCGTTGTACTATAATTTTACTACCCAAGAACCCCCAAAAGAGTTGTGGGCCCCGATATTATTCACCATGGGGCACGCTTGTGAGAAATAGAGAGGAGACTACGGCACTAGACGGCAAACCAATTCCCCGAAACTCTGAGCTGTCATCGCCGCACCTACATTCCAAGCAGAATCCAAACTTTAAGATCTGGTTTCTGAACCGCAGACCTTAGTCCTAGCAGTCTTCGTGATGGTCGTGGCATGGGAGGGCCTGGCAGGTGAGGGGTCTCCATGGCACCGAGCTCCGTCCGCATCACTCGGGTGGAATGCTCAGAGTTCGGCACGTGTTTGACAGGCCCGGGCCATCGCTTCCCAACCGGAGCGCAGGTTCGTTTGGAGGGGTTGCCAGGGCTCGACTCCCAGACCTTCCTCGTGGAGCATCCCTCTGGCCACAAGTTCTCCATCAGCCACGAGATCTCCGTGATCGTGAAACGCATCGATCCTGTCGGCTCCATCGTTCATACCGAAAGGCCTCACCAGCTTGGCAGGGTGCACGACCTTCGACTGAGCGCCTATGATGCAAGTGCTCAGGCACCGGTGGAGCGTTTCTGCATCATGGGCCGAGCCCTCGATGAATCGTCGCTGTACTTGGAATCTTTTCGCGAGGCCACGAATACCTTCGGCCCAGCTGAGCTCTTGGCAGAATGGACCGACGGAGTCCTTTCCACGCCCTACCCTACCGGCATAGTCGTTCCACAGCACGCCTGGAAGCAATACGATTGCTGCCGTGGATCCGCAGTGTTGGTGTGCAGGCCGCCCTTGTCGGAAGAGTCGTGCCTGCGCGAGTGGCAGGGAGCCCTGAGTGCGGCACGCGAGGTGGGCGGTGGCACCGTGTTTAAGACCTCCGTGCAAGCAGAGCTGGACGTGCATGACTGTTCAAGGCTGCATGTCCAGCACTCGGGATGGGCTGATTGCAACGGAATCTATCAAAGAAGTGGCCATCTTACGTTCAGCCTCGGAACGCTGATCTCCATCGCTCACGTTGAGGAGCTGGGCATGTGGTGCCTTTTTGCTGATGTTGTGGCTCTGTATCCTTTGTCTGACCATCGTGCCCACATGCGCCTCGGAAAGTGGGACGGTCCACAGCTCCTTTATGCGCGGACGGGCGGTCCGCTGGGTTACTGGGAGCCAGTGATAGGCCCGGGCCCTGGACCTTTTGTGGAGGTTCACAAAGAGGTGAGTGTTCAGCAGTCTCCTTCAACCCAATCCACGTGGCTCTTACACCCTAGCGTCGGCTCTATGGTTTTAGACCTCCTGTTCAACTATGCTCAGGCAAGCTGGTCCGGTGGGCTCTGTAGCAGCGGCGTCTACGGCCTCAGCTCTCTGGAAGCCTTAGTGTCGGCTTTGGAACTGTGGGTGCACCTCCGCATGTGCTCCGCTGTGTGCAGATGCTGGCACGAGGCTTTGGAACCTTTTGAAAGTTTGACGGGCTTGTGCAGGAAGGCCTTGCGAATCCCAAAGGCCTCACTGCCTTTACCTTCTGTCCAAGAAGCGGTTCGAGCCAGTTTGCTTTTTGGAAGCCGGTGGAACGATGCTCTCTCCATGCCAAACATGATGATATTTCGGAGGCACACGTGGCCTGCACATGTGTCGGCGGTTGATATATCAAGTCAGCTCAACCCCGAGGATGATGTCCGTGATAACCCAGCCTCCACACTTTTGGAAGAGAAGGCGACAGCTTTTTCTCAACTTGCTCGATGCATTCTCCGCGGCCTGCCTTTACCTTGGCAGGCAACTTCGTTCATGCCTGGGTATCGCACGCAGGGAGATGGCCGCAGATTCGCATGGTGTCAATTGTTAGATTTCCACAAGCCTGATAGACCGCCTACTGCGTATGTGAGCACAGACACGCAAGGGCACATGGAGCTCCGGCTGCCCGATGGTTCGAGGGCCCTCCCGCACTCAGCTGATGCATTGAGGCCGTTAGCCGCTCAGGGGGGGCTACGTCAGACAATGCAATCTCGATCATGGGTTTCACGTCGGAAGGAGCCCCGCAGCCCAAACGATCCATGTGGACTGTTTGCTTGCGGTGGGCCGGCGTCCCCGTGTCATGTATGCAAGAAAGACAAAGAAGGGAGAAGGAAGCTGGGGTTTACTCAGTTGCAGGCAGGGTATTCTTTAGAGTTCCAGACTACCAGCGGTTCCAAGATATCTTTTGAGATCGAGGTAACCGTGCTCCCGTTCTTCTCGACATCGAAGGACCCTCAGCTCGTCGACCATGCAAGGGCATTGCTCGGCGGGATGCAAGAAGACGATAGCAGTCCCGAAATGGCGGACAGCAGCTCCGGAATCGATGTGGATGAGGAAAGTGCGGAGAGTAACGATGTGCTGTCTGGTATCAGTTCCGAAGATGAGCAGCTGAATGATGAATCCGATGCCGAGATCGATGCCGAAGATGGACAACCCGAGTAAAGGAGAATTTGTGCTCGCTTGGCGTTTGGCCCAGAAAGGTTTCGGCATTGAGTCGTTTAGGGCTTGTTCCACCTTCCACACTGCATGGCAAGCAATCTAAACCGTCTGAGGCTGCGAACGCGAGTTTAGGGTTTAAGTATCGCATATTGTACCACAAAGTCCTATCCCAACCCCGATGTTAGCACCTACACCTAAACCCTAAATCTTAAACCCTAAACCCTAAAACCCTAAAACATGCAAAACTCGGAGCCTCCGAAAGCCCAGGTGCCCGAAAGGGTAGCGCTTCTTTTCCGAGCCGATGGCCTTGGAGGCTCTGCTTTCGGCGCACGTGGGTTGGGTTTAGGGGTTTTAGGGGTTTCGGGCTTGTGTTGAAGGGCTGAGGGTTTAAGGTCTTAGGTTTAGTTTATTTTGGAGTTTAGGGTCTTCGTGTTTTGTAAGGGCCTCTAGCACTGTTGCAACCGTTTATGGGTTTTGTAGGGCTTTCAGGGCGGCTCCTGAATCAAGAAAAGCACCCTGAGTTTTAGAGGGATCCTTATGGCGATCTCGGCACCTTCCTTAGTTTAGGAGTTAGTTTAGGAGCAAGTTGGGCTTTCTGGGACGTTGATTGGACATCGCTGGACCTCTAGCGGCGGTTCAGCTAGAGTGTGCGATTTGTCAAACTTGATTTGGCGAAGTGTTTCGGCCACATTCTCCAGCTGATCGGCTCTCAGACTTTTGGCATATAAACCCAAAGCGCTAGACCTCCCAACCCCAAACCCGGAACCACAAAACCCGAAAGCCTTATACCCTCAACTCTTCGAGCTCTGGCCCCCAAAGCCACGAATGACTGGCAGGGTGCCGCCGTTGCGGCCTCGGCCACCTTTGGCTGCAGCGCTATGGGTGTGGCAGTGTGCCCTTGGGGTCTTTGGGGTGTCTAGGGTTTAGGGTCCCGGGTCTCGATCTCGCAAGTATTGCTACTACCACTACTAATCACTGGCACTGCTAATGTTATTACTGCTATGACGACGGCTCCGACGATGATGGGTTGTAGGTCTTGGTCTCATGGTGGTTACAACATTGCATACGTTGCTATCTCTTCTACCATGATAATGGCTGCATCTATGTCCGGGGCTGTTTCTCGCATGTTTGCAGTAGTGCCGGTAGGACGATTATGCTGGTGGTCAGTGGATGATGGTTTGTTAAGTCATTCTGCAGGTATACCGGTATACCTTATAGACAGGCTCGCGCACAAGCAAGCTAGATAAACAGACTCGATAACATGCAGCTCTATGCCTATGCCTAAAGCCCTACAATAGCTACAGGTCAACCCAGGTTCTCTTGAAGTCTTGCCACGCCCGCACATCAAGTTTGGAAGAACTCGAGCTTGGTGCTTTTGTCGCTTGCAGCGGGAGGACGCAGAGGGGGCGCGGAGGGCGGTGCTTGCAGGTTCTTGGGTAGTTATATGCGGGGCTATAAGTAAGGTAACTACAGTTATAATCCATATTAGGGGACTTATAAACCCACTTATAACTACCCATGAACCCCCAAATTTCAACCGCCTAACCCCCGATGGATGGGAGCTTCAGGCTCCTCTGTTTTTTAAGCTTTGGACTTGTTCTCTTTTTGGGTGTGGTCTTTGGGCTGGGCTTGGAGTGCAGGCTTCAAGATTGAGATTGGGGTTGAGTGTTGGTTTCAAGGTTGCGGGTTTCAGGAGCAGTTCGATGCTTCGGGGGCCTAAGCCCTAAACCCGAAAACCCCAAACCCGAAAACCGAACCCCTAAACCCTAAACCGCTTCTGAGTCTGGCCCGAAGTTGTGAGATTTTGAGGGAGTCTAGGGTGTAGCGGGTGGAGTGGGGAGGTCGGAATCATGAGGAATCATAGTCCCTTACAGCCTGTAGCACCAAAAATCATATGGGTAGTTCTCGAAGTTAGGGTCCCTGTTTAGGTCCCCAAAATAGTACGG